TGACGTTATAGAACGGAGCGGGCAAACCAAACTCAGCGTGTGTCCTGTATTCGCTCGGACTGGTTGCCAAATACCAGCCACAAACATTTATCTGTCGTGACTCCGCATGCCGTGTGACAGATAGCGAGAACGTGCTCGCTGCCGTTGACCGCTGGTTCAATCCATTCGCCGCACCGAGGGAGTTTTCCGAAAACATGACACTGCACATTTACACTACACCGGGATTAAACTACACCAAAAGAAAACGACATATGTTGCCTTTCAGTATACGTTTATCACTTCTATACTATATTAATTAACATTTATGAAACGTTTCAGTCACGTACGCAAGTTGGAATAGTTGCTACGCAGATTTTGCATTCTAAACAAACAACGTCACATCCACCAGAATTCTTAATATTATTCTGATCTTTTAACTTTATTTTTCTTTATAAAATGAGTGTGTTATATGTGGCTAATTCTTTCTTTTATATCACACCACCAGGTCTTGTATCAGGAGAACTCTTGTTTCTCTCATGGTTTCCAGGAGATGACTTCAATGGCAGTGGATGCAGCTCTTTGGATGATGGTGTTGGGGTGTGTTAGTCTGGTATTCAGCAGAGGCACATGCTCTAGTAGCTCTGCCCGGGCCCTAGGAACCTCTGCCAGGACTGTAAGGGCACGGAGGGCATTGACACACACCGCTGTAGTCTCACTCACCACCAGCTGCAGCAGAGGGGCGATGGCACATGCGTTCAGAGCCTCAGTCTTACCTGGAAACAGACAGACAATGATATCTTGCCTAGTCTAATCTAATATAGGGGTTTTCAAAGTGGGGTCCAGGACCCCCAAAGGGTCACAAGGGAGTGCTAAGGGGTGAGAGGGAAAGTTCAGAGAAAAAAATAGTGTAAAAAATGTATTTAAATAATACTTTATGTAATACATAAGAATAATAATTAATTGATAAAAAATTATCAAAAAAAACCTACAGATTCTGATATAATGTTGCCTGTTGTAAAGGTTCTTTTAAAACACCTAAGAAACACTTCAATGTCTGATGATGGTCTTGATGCTGGTCAAAACATCATTGTTTTAAAGAAATTAAGTAGACCAGGGTTATTATAGTTTTACAAATTAACTTTAACCTAAACTTTAACTAAAATAAAATGAAATATTAAAAAATGCTAAATTTGTTTTATTTCAGCTAGTTGCCAAGGCAACGTGTTATTTTCATTTAGTTCAACTTAAATGTTCTAAAATAATTCAAACTGAAAAAAATAATAAAAACTATAGACATATTTAAAAAAAAATTATAAACATGAAAAAACTTTACAAATAAAATGAAAATAAAATAAATTAATAAAAATGAATTCAAATTATTAATAAAAACTATAATAGTATCTCATGATACTAAAATAACACTATTGTAGAGTGAGTGTTGCCCGGTTTTCTACATTTTCTAATTTTTTACATTTTTTGAGTTGAATCTCCTCTACTGTTCAGGATGAGCACCTAATTTTCAATTTCTGTTTTTCATTTTTGTCGTTATACTTGAAAATATCTAGCTGCCTTTAGGGGGTCCCTTCTTGCAAGGTGACCAATCATATGTGTAGGTCCATGGCATCAAAAAGTCTGAAAACCCCAGATCTAATGTATGTGCATATAACTAACATCAACCCCATCTAGAGGTTTTAACGGGGTAGTTCACCCCAAAATTGTTATTCTCTCATCATTTATTCACCCTCATGACTCTGTATGACTTTCTTTCTTCTTTATAACAGAAAAGACCATATTGTGAAGAATGTACGCAACAATTGGTAACGAAAACATCTACATTTATGTTCCACAAAATAAAAAAAGTCATCCAGGTTTGGAGCGACATGAGAGCGAATAAATGACTAAATTATCATTTTTGGGTGAACTATCCCTTTAATGTTTACATACAGCACTATAATAGATGCTGAAAAGTTTCTAACTTCACCATCGACTCATAAATTACAAAAATGCACGCTGAAACTTGATTTTGTGCTGACCCTTAGTGATAACGGCCGTGTTCATAATGGTTCCTGCAGCATTAGCGACAACTCCTTGCTCATCATCCGACAGCAGCTTGACTAATATTGGAAGAAGATTCTCCTCACACACCTTCATCTTCCCATCTGCAGGCACACTAAGATAGGAAAGGAGAAAAATGCATGCTTTTTATTTTAAAAGAATATCTGCTCTGATCTCTCACCCTAGTGAACTTAACCTGATCTAGACTGTTGTGTGCTATGCTACCTACCTGATTCCCACTAAAGCAGATGTGGCTGCCCGGCGGATGGCAGGGGAGGGGTGAGACAGCTGATCTCTCAGGACAGGAACCGCATCACTCTCCAGCGCAGGAAGGGCGTTCACACTCACACAGCAGCTCAGTGTGGAGAGAATTAAAGCACGGATGCTCTCTTCTTCATCTGAGACCTTCAGCACCAGTTTGGGCACCAGCCCCATAGACACCATGAACACTGCTCCTGTAGGGACATGACAGAGGACTCATCAAAAGAAAAGCTTCTGAAACACATTTTCTGTATAAGAAGTATAAGATTAGTCACCTGAAGGAAATTCAGCGATCCTGTTGAGTGCTTGGTGCACGTTTTTACGACAGGCATTCACAGGGTCCTCAATCAGGTTTGCGAGGGGACCCACAATGTCAAATTTCAAGAAGGCATCTCTGTGTGAACAAACATATCTTCTTATCATACTGAATATTTTTGGAAGCCAAAAGTCAAAATGGTAAAAATCACTTCTGTTGCAGGTATTTTAGTGTTGTTTAAAAATATCCCCTCCATATTAAATATAAAATTTTCAAAGTATCTAAAATGCTCTAAAATATTCTTTGGGCAAAAAATACTATTTTTCTTACTGGAAATAAAAAACTTGTACTTTACATTTTTGAAAGCATCAAGACCGTGTTAAAACCCCCCACAAAAATACAGTAAAAACTGTAATACTGTGAAATGTTTTTGCACTGTTTTCTATTTTAAAATTTTAAAATGTTATTTATTGCTGCAAAGATAAAGCTGAATTTTCAGTATCATTACTCCAGTCTTCAGTGTCACATGATTCTTCAGAAATAAGCTGATTTGCAGCTCAAGAAACATTTCTTATTATTATCACTGTGCTCGCTGCTCAATATGTTTGTGGAAACTGTAACACATTTTTTCACATTATAAAATATCATTTTAATGCATCCTTATTGGATAAAAGTATTTATCTTTAAAAAAATCTTTTATATTTTCAGCTTGCATATTTTCTTTTTATAAAAAATATATAAATTTAAATATTACAAGTGTATTTTATAAATATATTTTTATATTTATATAAAATAAATATACCTAAATAAATATATTCCTTTTTGTTAAGCATTGTTAAGGTTTAACTAACTCCACATACTGCCAATATACTCAATATGTGAAATATACTGACATAATTTGACATAAATAACACATAGCCTACTATGCGGGGCCAAGCACATTCACATGCCAAAAGCTTACACAAACTAAAACTGTCAGCCCTTGATTTCTTGCATGACTCACCTTCCCAAGCTGTGTGAAGCAAGCACATAAAGCACTTCAGTGGTTTTGACCCTGACTAAGTCATCTTCATCTTGCAGCAAAACTTTAAGTCTTTCCATACATCCTTTGAGGAACAGAAATAAACAGTTTGACTAAAAACAAAGACTGTAAAAAATTCAGCATTTATTTTGTTTCTTAGGATGGACAATAGGGTTTCTTAAAGGGATAGTTCACCCAAAAATGAAAATTCTGTCATTAATTACTCACCCTCATGTCTTTCCAAACCCGTAAGACCTTCGTTCATCTTCAGAACACAAATTAAGATATTTATGAAATTTTGATGAAACCCTCCCATAGACAACAAGGTTACTATACCACGAGCAAGGCACAGAAACGCATGCGTTGTGATACTCTCTCCACAATGGCAGCGCATCGCAGATTCCATCAAAAATATCTTAATTTGTGTTCTGAAGATGAACAAAGGTCTTACGGGTTTGGAACGACATGAGGGTGAGTACTTAATGACATCATTTCAATTTTTTGGGTGAACTATCTCTTTAAGGATGAGTTTACCGCTGAGAATGGCTTCATAGGCCCGCTCATGGTCGTGGACTAGGTCGCAGAGTGCAGCGAGCGCCCTCTGCCGGGTAAACAGCTCCGCGTCCTGCAGCTCCAGCATCAGCTTCGGGATCGCCCAGCTACCGAAAGCCACCGGCGCCTGTGTGGGGTCAATATGCGGCGGGGGCTGCTCGGATGTTTGCGGACTTGCCATCTTCTTCGTTAGGGTGCTTCAAATGTGATTCCATTATGTATTTACATATTGAAAAGTTCGTTATTTTACTGACCGAGTCTCAAGTTTGTAGGATTTTTGAGGGTTCAACACGTCATTTTACATTCTAAATGTGAATAAGTATTCCTAATACATTTGCACGAGCATTCAAAATCAGAATTTGCAGACCTACAAATTGTTAAAGACAATAATACCGTATTCGCTGGTTTGTATGGTCCGCTGCTTGTAATTATTTCCGTATATAGTTCGGTTGCTATGGTAACTCCGGAACTAACGCTACGCCGTTCTCAGGCAGTGACGTAACTCCGTAATTCCTTCAACAGCATGACAGATAGATAATACAGCACAGAAATGATTAAATGAAAGTCTTCAGTGTTCAAGACCTCTCTCACTTTTATGGGAAAAAGCACCTTTTGGCTTCACTGAACATTCTAAAGAGGATGAAAGTTGCTTTTAATTAAAGTACTTATTTTGAATATATATTTCACATTCATAAATGCAAATTTACTAATAAAGCCACCATTTTTATGTTTTTTTTTTGGACTGAAGTAAGGCTGTACATAGACAGTATTAGAAATTATATCAAAAAAAGTTATAGGCAATTTAAAATAGCTATATAATGAAGGTTTTAAACATTTATTTATTCTCCTCTCCTATTTTTTCTCCGTTCCCCCCGTTTTCTGTTTTATTTTTATATGCATATAATTGTATATTGATGAATATTTGCATTTGAATGAAAGGCCATGTATGTTAATCTTTACTCAGTTAATAAAAGCAAGAGAGATAATACTTCATCAGGTATGTTCATTTTAATATGTTCATTTAAAATTTATTTGAATTGAACAAAACCATACAAATCAGTAAGATGGATCAAATACATTTCAAATGAACAAGCTGCACAAAGTTTCTGCTCCAAAAATATTAAAACCCACATTGATCCATATTTCTCCTGCCTGCTCGATTTTCATTGTGTCTCATGGCTGTTGTGTGTCTAGTGTCTGTAGCCATATAATTTAATATGAAGGTCAATGAGTTGTCTGAGGAAGCCTCGGTTGGGAAAGACGCCTCTTCCCTCTTTTACTTTCTGGATTGCCTCCACCAGCGTCATGTTTTGTTTCAGCATCAGATATGCCAAAACTATAGTTGCTGATCGACTCACTCCAACATGACAGTGAACCAGGGTTTTGCCTTCAATTAGAAGATAGAGTTTAATCACTCTCAGCTGCAGGAAGGAAGACTGGGTTAGTTTTTGGACACATGCTTACCTCCCTCTTTCAGCGCTGTATGTATAAATTCAGCAGCTTTGTTAAAGTTGGCACTCATGTCATACGTGGGTGAATCGTGTGCGTCTATGCTCATGTATGTGATGCCCATGCCATCATAGATCTCGCCACCACGTCTGGAGCTGTGGGCGCAGTTCAGGACATGAGTGAAGCGACGCCTTCTGATCTCTGCACAGTTTTCAGCTATATCCCTAAACAAAGAGAAAACGCATCACACAGCAGTATTATTGAACATACAGGTTATAAAATGTCAGCAGAACACTTGTTTTGCAGGCATTTCAGGTGCTTATTAGTAGACAGTGTTGGGAAGGTTACATTGGAAATGTAATAGGTTACATATAACAAGTTACCCTACTTAAAATGTAATAAGTAGTGTAAGTATTTCAATTACTTTATTAAAGTAATGTAACTGATTACAATTGATTACTTTTTGATTAATGTTCTAAATTTCTAACAAATGTTTTCAACTGATAATCATTTTCAAACGTTTAAACCAGGCAGGGTTAACCTTCAGAATCTTTCACCATTTCAATTAAGATTATAATCATTTATTTTAAAAGCACAGCCACCACAAAATCAGACTTTAACACCTCTTTTCACTTTGAAATCATTCTGAGGTTAAATACAGATTTAAAATCATAACAAGAAATAGTTTAATAGCTATAAAACGGTTTTTGAAATCAGTTCTTTGCATACAGGAAACACTGGCATCTAACAGTTAATCTTAAAAAAATAAAAATAAAGCATAGACATAAACTCAAATAGGAAATAAAACAATTATTGAATAAATGTGTTTTATTGTGTCCTAAACTCCTGAAACATTTGTGTCTCAAAGCAGTCAATGCAATTTGGGAAAGAACTCAATTAAATCTGTATGCGAGTAAAAAAAAAAAAAAAATCAGATGTAACCCCCTTTGTAATCTTTAAAATGTTTATAAGTAACTGTAATTTAATTACACGTTTTTTTCTCAGTAACTGTAACTGATTACAGTTACATTTATTTTGTAATTAAATTATGTAATTCCGTTAACGTTTGATGTAACTAGTTACTCCCCAACACTGTTAGTAGATGCTCTGTTCTTGTTAGTAGAACTGACTGCGTTGTTTACATATCACAGTTTTGAAGTGTTATTAGCAAAGTCCCTTTCAATATATAGTATTTCTATAGTCTTTGTTATTAGTCATTTATAGAGAAAGAGTTCCCTCTTGTGTTCAACAACATGCATTAGGAACAGCAGCAACTCGTGCAGATAACTACGTAACTTTACTAATAAGCATTAAAAATACGTTTTGTACCAAAAATGTGTAATTTTTACGCATATGTAAGCTATAATTACGAATTAATTAGGAAAAACTGCAGTGTGCTTACATGTTGCCGATGTAAAGACCGGGCCAGACTTCATCCGCGTTAGTGTTGACGGCTCTTCCAGAGATCAGAAGACGTTCGACCTCCATCACCGCTAAACCGGGAGAAGTGAAGTCAACCACCGGTTGAGTTGAACGTGAGGTACCGTCTGAATACTTCGACCTGTAAGACATTTTAAAGTGTAAATGGGCATTTGGTGTCCACTGCTTTTGGTAATATTGCAATAAATATAAGTTGTTTCGTGCACGACACTGTATCAGGTCCGTCTGTTAGAGTTATTCAGACTGTCAGTTCATAGTGTGCGTGAATGAAAGCCGTGTTTTGGATGCCAGTGCAGGGGTTATTTTAGGAATAGGGAGTCTCTTGGCTCTGCGCGTTCGCAGCAGATCATTTACACATGCAATGTAATATATAACGTTACTGGGATCTGCTCGATGATTTACAGACAGTTTGCTTTAATCTACGGGTCATTTCTCACCGGCCTTATACTTTTGTTGATAATACAACATAAATAACACCTTTTAAGGCGATGCAGTAAATATCTGTAACTGTAAATTTAACATAAATTGACATGAATTAGTGAATTATGATTGTTTCTAGGTTGTCAGTTAGGTATTGGCCACTGTAAAAAAAATATTATACTTTATTTCAGTAATATAAAGTAAAATTGTGAAAATTCTGACTTACATTTTTAAAATGTTCACCTTTCAAAATTATGGCGTTATTGTAGCCTAATATTTGAATCTATACCACTTATCAGTTACGTATACTGGATTGTTATTGGTCCTCTTACACACATTTATTTAAATACTGAATTGTGATTGGACTTCTTACTTACATTATTTACATACTGCATTGTGATTGGCCTTCCAGTTCCGTACGCACTGGAGCCGTTTTTAACGGCTCTGGTACGTACATAATAATCAATCAGACAATCAGCATTCAGCAAGTCGGTGAAATGGTAAAGATGCGGTCACGTTACGAAATTTTGTGGGCAAAAAGGTCTATTGATGTATGTAGAGCAATGCACACAGGAAAATCACTTTAAAGGGGTCATATGATGCTATTTTAAAGATCATTATTTTGTGTATTTGGTGTAACAGAATATGTTGACATGCTTTAATGTTCAAAAAACACATTATTTTTCGGAATTTGTTGCATCCAGTGGGGAAATAATTATGTATTATAATGACTTATACTGTCTTTTTACACGTTGCGTTGCATTGCGCCGTTAAACAGTCCTCCATAAAATGTGCCGGTGATCCACAGCACTAAGTTGATGTATTCCCTCCGCGACCAGCACGGATCAGCTCTAGGCATGTCGGAGCGGATATCGTCCTCTTTTGGAAGATCAAACAAAGTAGTTTCGCTTTCACAACGAAGCACACAGCGTCTTTACGACATGGCGGCGGAAACAACAAAACTACATCGAGAATAAAAGTTACGCCTTCTTTTTTTGCGTGAACATTTGGGCGGCGTTATGTAAATCTTCCCACATAGTGAGGTAGATATGTGGGGGCGTGTTACAACGAGCCGTTTTAGGTAGGCGTGGCTGACTCTTAACTTTTATAAAGAATATCTCTTTGGATTTGAGACTTTAGTCTTTGCAACTTTACAGATCTTCTTTATGCACCAAGAGCTTGTAACACTCCAAAGAGAAAGGAAAACTTGAAATAGCATCATATGACCCCTTTAAAACCAAGCAGCTTTCTGCTGGTCACCGCTACAAATAGCCTATGTTTGAAACTTGAATCTGTCGCCCGCGAAAATTCGCCGTACAATACCAAATGTGACCGCATTTACACAAAACCAAAGCATAAGTCTTTGTATAACTAGCCATTTCTTTCATAAATTGCAAGTATAATTGTTTATGTTTTGAGCATAATAGGATTCAACAATAAATGAAAACTTAATTGATAAATTATATATTTTGGCAATAAGAAATTACATCTTTTTTCTGTTCTTTATTGGAAATGATCTTATGGTTTGCAAATGGGCTATTACAGTGAAGCGACTAATGTAAATAAATTCATATATTGTCTACAGAAATATTATGTCCTGAGCCGATGACACAATCTGTTGAATTGAATGTCTTGATTTTTAATATGAGACCCTACAGTCAGTTGACCTTTATTCAGTCCTACAACATGATAGAGAAACAGTCCCCGCTTGTGTTCAAAAACATGCATTACATTTACATGGGAACTTCAGCAGGCAGGTTTTTGGTCCTTGCTTGGGATTTGTGTTTTCAATATATTCGTTATACAAATATACTTTTCTTTTTTTCTGTAAAGATTAATCTAATAAACAATTTCAGGTATACAGAAGAGAAAATTTACAGAGAGAAGAGAGAAAACACAGTAAAGATAAACGTGGATTTCATGCAGAGCTCAGTTGATTTGCAGTTTTTTTGTATTTGAGATACTTCTCTGTTGTGGTATGAAAAATCACCTGCTGATATTATGGCACTGTTTTTCCTGGTTACAAAACAGACATAAAATCTGTGTGGTAGGAGGAAGACCTGTTGAACGGTCCATGATGTCAGTCGGTGACTTTGGTGCAAAGTATTAAATGTAGTGAAGTTAAAGGGAACTTTTATTCCGTGAAGAAGTGCTGATGTTCTGTCCATAATCCGCATCCCTGCTCCAGTCCTTCAGATATAAACTGTACATTATTTCTATGTCTTTTTTTAAAAAGGCCTCCTGTTTGACTGTATACAGGCCCGCAGTCGGCTACCGCCACCTGAACACTGACGCAGATGCATTGAATCAGCTACAGATCAGTAGTCACACAAACAAAGGAAACAAACAATAGCCAAAAGTCCTCCGAACTGCAGGATGTAAACAATCATGTTAACACAAAGGCCTGTACTAAAAAAATGAACTGAGATGCAGGTGCACAATCAAAGGAAGTGACCACAGCAGATGAAGTGTAGGCTTCATTGATCATTAAAGACTACGTCCAGTGGTTTGATGAATGCAATTTTTTTTATAACAAAGTTGGGGCAAAACATATCAAAGAGTTTGTCTTTTTATAAAATAGCCTAGTATACATCGTAGCCTTGGAAAACCATGATTTGCTACTCACTATTGCTTGTTAGAGGCAAGTGGTACTGAAGGTTTGTCAACTTTTAATAGTATACTAGCATGAAGATGGTCTTAAAAGCTAACAAATATAGTCTAAAATCCACAAAATGCCATTTCTTAATTTAAGGGGTCTTTAAAATCCAGATGAGGCCTGGAAAAAGAGTAATGAAACATGAACTATGGATCCAATTGCAGTGTGAGAGTTGGTCTGAGATCCGTCCAAGATGTGGGTTTGTAATGAGACAGAACCATGATCTGAATCAAAAACTGGCATGTGTAATCACTTAAGGTCCAGTCACATTTATGGTTATGAAATTTTGCCAGCGAAATCCAATAATTTAAATAGGAATCTCCAAGATTGGGAATTTTGTGTAATGGCAATTTGTCACATTAATCAACAGAGAGCTGCTTGGTTTGAAAGTGACTTGTGTGAGCAGTGTTTCGTGCATTGCATGCATTGGAGAATGGACCTTTTTGATGCTGAAATTTGGCTAATTTCCATGAGGAAGGTGACTGAATGAAACTGGTGATAAAACTAATACACAATACAACAGAAAATGGGTGAAATTAAATGGAGTGAGTTACAAAAAAACTGACCTTCTTTTATTTATAAATCAAGATATTTTACAATAAAATCAAGAATGTATTGGTGTAATAGCAGTGCTAAACAACATTCCAAGTGCAAAAGGCTCTGATCTTGAAAAGTTGTGCTACCAAAAACCAATGGAAGTAATAAAATGTGGTTGAATTAGCTCGGTTTTATCCTTTCAGTCTGCCTAGACTCAAGAAAAAAACAAAACGAAAGTCTTAAGATGGTGTTATGCAATGAGACTTATGTTTAATTCTGAGCAGATGTCAGACTGCCGCTGCTCTTTGCTGGATGTCAGAAGGCTGGTTTTGAGTATGGCACTGCAATGATTAGGACATTTTGCGCCTGTATTTCAACTAATACATTACCATCAGTAGGGTACGCGACCCCAAAACACCTGTTAATGTGTTAATGCTGGCAAACTAACTGGCAACTGTGAAAATCCTAATCCGTTATCATGAGAAGATATCATTAAAAAGAAAGAAAAAAAAGAACAACCAAAACCATCATAATCAATCCACCCTGTTATTAGAAAGCCTTTTTCTCAAGGTGGTCCAAGATGGCCTGGATCCTCTGGACGGCCTCTTTGCGAGCCTGTCGAACGACGTCCTGCCCGTTGGTCTCCACCGAGTCCAATTCCAGCAGCTCTTTTGTCAAAAGTTCCTCCAGGCACCGGTAGCTCTTGTCCATCTTTTTCCCTACAAACTCATCCACGTCCTCTTGGAGGAGCTGAACTCTGGCCAGAACCTGCTGAACTCGAGCCAGGCTGCGATTATCGCTTAATGGGGCTGGAGTGGACGACCCTTGGCGGGAAGACGTTGGAGGTTGTTCATTCTGGGCTGGTTTGGGCTCGGGTCCTCCACATCCGGAGGGAGCCTTGTTGTAGATTTGAGGCGGAGCGCTGAACTGGGCGGCTTTGGGTGGAGGTGGAGTTGGGTTTGGAGTGCTGGCTCGTGGTTGGGAGCCTGGAGGCTGGTTTCGAGGGTGAATATGAGGCTGACTGTGATATGGTGGATCCTAAGAGAGAGATATTCATTTAGATAATAAAAAAGCTCTAAATATTACACAATATACCAATTCCAGTTTTGCATGTGTTAAATCCAAAGTATACTTGGTTTTTACACGTAAGCTAAAGTATATGTATAGTGCATGTGACAATTTTCTTTACGAGCAAACTATAGGCCTATGCGTGTAACCCGATTTTTTGAGACATGCATACTTCATATGCTATTGATGAGAGAAACAAAGCTTTTCAAAGCTCTGAATCAACTGATTCGTAAAATTATTTACTGCTTTAAAGAACTTGAAACATTTTTTTTTTTTACAAATCTTTTACAAACCAATTGCAAATGTTTTCATGAAAGTGTAATGTATTAAAGGTCACATATTTTACACCTTTCTGGAGTTTCTGTCCTTAAGAATATATATTTGCTGTATAAGTACCAAAAACCATCTCAATATATTTTTACAGCTCCTCTCTCAGGAGCTCTGCTGAGAACAGGTCGATTTCGGCCTGTCTAATTAATATTCATTGTTGTGATTAATTGTGGCTGAAACAATAATGTAGCTGTAAAACTGCCACTGCCAGACAAAAAACCGACGACAGCTGTGGTTAAACGCGATAAAACGAGCAGACTGGACAGAAACGATCGTCAAAAATGCTCGCGTTTGCAGTGCACACTTCTTATCAGAAAAGGTTCAATAAAGTGTTGTCTTTTGTTGTTATGGGTGCGTCTACAGATTTCTTGCCATATGTCTATGTTTCTTGCATCTCACGATTATGTCGTGTATGAAATAATGTCTTGTGTGCATGTGTGTAAAACAACAACCTGACGATTTATATATAATCATTTGTAATTGTATATACATTGTTGTGATTAATTGTGGCTGGAACAATAATGTAGCTGTAAAAATAGTTGCCTGCTGAAATTGAAATGTATATACATCTTCATCATGACTAGATAGACACGGTGAGTTTGTCTTTACTATACATGTTAGATGTGATCCACCTCATAGTAACAATCCTGTCAGATCGTCCATCCTTTGAGTGTGAGAGTGTAACGTTACAGGTCGGCCGATCAGGTTTCGTGGTTAAAGTGAACCTTTTCGACATGTTTCCGTGTTGTCGTTGCTCAGCAATGGCATGGACGCGATGTTGTCTGGGGGTTTGGCAAAAGGAGAGTGGGACGGTGGGAGCGGTGCTCGGGGTGGTGACTGATTCATTTGTAGTTTTTTTGTGTTTGTTTTTAAGCAGAGCTTGGCAAGGTCAATCAGAAAAAAATAAGTATTGTTTTCATTTTTGCATTATACATGCATAAATATTAAAATTAATTAATTAAAAATGTATAAAACTGACCCGAATACACTCGTTCATAGGTTCACTAAATCAACTGCATCTGGCGGCAAATCCTCTGATTTTTGAAACCAAGGTTCAAGTATGATGTAACAAAGCCTCATTAAATGAGCAGAAAGACATTTTTAATCACTCATGACTACTGGAGAGAAATCATACAGATACCGAACAAAGAAGAAACTTTCTAGAGCGCATGTGTCGAGTGCCTGTGCTTGTGCATGCTATCAAATGAAGTATACTTTAAAAGGCTATGCGTTCAGCTGCACGCATATGCTAGTGTTCACGTCAAAACTGAAGTAGGCTATACTTGGGGCTTTATAATTAGAGAATTCAATTGGATTTTTTTCAACAACTGAAGTATGATATAAAGATTCTATTGATTTTGATGAACTTTGATTCCTTGCAAGAACCGGTCAAACACTTTTAAAATGATGAATATGCAACTGTCCATGTTTGAGAGTTGAAAACAGGAAATCCGAGCATTGTGATATACAGTAACATGTTCTGATAGTGGGAGAGTTGAGCTGTCTTATGTAATCAGCTTTGGGAGGGTTACATGAGGTGAACCCAGCAGACTCTTAACTGTTAAATAAGCCTTCCCACTGCGTGTTTGCCAAAGTGCCAGTCAGAACGTTTACTTGCACTTTAGAAGTTTAATATCTGGCAGACTGATGCAATAATTTGTCTTCATAAAATGTCATGTAAATGTTTTACTCTAAAATTGAAGTAACAAATCCAGATTTATTTTGGCATCACCATGGCCTCGGTGTTGTACGCTTGTTCTGAAATACATGGGTGACACGCAACGTGTATTAATCCTTCAGTATTCAAATACACTGTCATGTACACTAGGACAGATAGATCAAGACGGCAACTCGACAACACAAAAACGTACTTTAGCTTGATTATAAAACATTTCAATTAGTGCTGTCAAATGATTAATCGTGATTAATCGCATACAAAATAGAAGTTTTTGTTTGCATAATATATGTATGTGTTCTGTCACAGAACAATCTAAAATTGAAACATGTAATGATCATTTCTAAGACCTACCATAATCTTTAAAGTAATAGTTCATCAAAAATTATTAATCATTATAAATGATCAGTCATTATTTACATGGAGAAGTCCAGTATGGTGACAAATTAAGTCTTCCCTCAAAATCAGGTCTCCACTAGGACCCCAATTCATCACAATGGCTTAAATTACTTTTAATGGTTACTCTCTTTAGTGCCTGATTCCAGTTCCTACCACATCATGTTATGAAAATCAATGCTGTTTAACCTCTTATAACAACCATTCATTTCTGTTTTAGTTTGCTTATGATCTAGCAAAGCATACAGAAACCTGATAGCTTAGTTTATATATTACGTTCACAATAATCTACAATGTAATTACGTGCTAAATTAAGTTTCAAATATCCAAATATCACAGTTGCAAATAAGAACTATGTAATGATGTTTGATTATTCGCTTACTATTAATTAACAGTTTATCAGATTACATTATGAAATTACATTATGTCCAATTTGCTTTGTTATGCGCTATATAGTAACAGTATATAGTTGCTTAGAAACAACAAAGGGAAGATTTTCTCCAAAGGTCAGAAGATGATGCTCTATTTAATTTTACTTATTTGTATTTTCCCAATCCCAATCAACTTACAGAAAAAGCATTAAAAACTTTTATACCACTTCCACAATGAACATTATTACAAGCTTGTAAAACATCACAAATACCTTGGGCTCATATGGAGGTGGTGCAGGTCCTTGCCATGGTGGAGGGTGAGGTGGTCGTACATGGTTATAGTGGCCATGGGGTGTCTGGGTATTGGACGGCCATTGCTGTTGGGGCGGTGTGTGCCCGTACCCTCCAGAGTGGGTCCAGGCCTCGTGCTGGGGTCTCGAGAGCATGGGCTGCTGGTTGGGGTAGGGAGCATTCGGGGGGCATCCTTCTCCATAGTGTGGGTATGATCCTGCTGGGTAGCCAGGGGCCTAACAGGAGAAAGAAGGAAGTGATAAAAAAAGAAGAAGAATCCTGTGGAAGTTAATAAGTAGGGCTGCACGATTAATCGAATGCGATTGTCATGCGCATTTTTACTTTATTTTAATGAAAATTATAATAATAAGAACTCAGATAAACCGTATATTGCCGTAGTTGTGTGTTTTTTAGTCACGTTGAATCAATGAAAGCTGTTGAATCTTCTGTTTATTCAGCTGCAGCGATAGGCATTTTCTGGGTTTCTTCTGCGAGGAGTATTTGGAGTTTCAGAGCGAGAGCGCCCTCTGGCCTTTGGATGGAGATTTACTGCTGATCACAGAACCGTGCTTCACTGAAAGATACGCCTGACAATCACAGCTTCTGTCGAATCGCGATCTCGATTCCATTTCGATTTATTGTGCAGCCCTATTAATAAGTCTCTTAAAATATCAGATAATATGACAATGTTAGTTCAGATGTTGTGATGACAAAATATCATGTGGTGCAACTCCCAAAAACTTTTGTTAAAAATATAACTTAACTAAAAAACTTTATTTAAAAACACCAATCACAATGTGGATACCCCATTATCTATATCTATATATTTTTTAATTACTTTTTAATATTCCTGTTTATCTTTCATTTATTTCTATTTTAGTTTCAATCATTTTATAACTTCACCTTATTTAAATTACAGTATTTAAAAAGGCAATTAATGTTTGTTGGTTCAAGAGTTTTTCCATTTCATTTTTATATTTTATTTAATTTTTTTGCTTTATTTTAATTATGAAAAATATTTTAGTTAACAATAGCAAAGCTGTTACGCGTGTATTCAAGGTTTAAGAAAAATATCTTACTACTTTTTACTTGTTAAATCACATAACAGTTATCATTAAATTGACTTTTTATTTTTTTGAAAATACTTTTTTTAGAAGCACATGAAACCAACATGAATACGAAGAATACATTACTAAGTATTTGGCACATGTGTTTTAAAGTAGATTTTTAATCTTTCTTCACTTTATTATGGACACTCTTATTCGCCATTGACCCAAAAATTTAACATTCTTGTATTATGTTCACATGTAACTGAATTTACCCCTTGGCAGTGAGGTACAGGGTAGGGGGGAGGAGCCGAACCCCCCGCATTTTGCTCAGGGCAGGTCTGGCTGTGATACTGAGGTTGTCTTGAAGGAACCTGGTCACTGCAGTAGAAGGGGTTGGAGGGATGTAGCATACTCGAGGAGTACTGTCCTGGATTGTACACCCCATTGGGATAGGCTGACATTGCCTGAAAAGGGCACAGCAGAGTGAAGCAGGGGTAAGTCTGCTGTGTATTTGACTGACAGAGGGCGTTACATAAACCTGAAATGTCAGCAGTACCTGGGGATTGTATGACGCCTGTCCGTTGACCTCTGTTCCAGGGGGGTATGTGCTGCCGTAAGGTCCTGCCGTGTGCGACTGGGGATACCAATAATTTGAGTAGCCGGGATACTGAGATTCCTGAAATAAAAATGGGTCCATGCAGACGGTAACAGTCTATAAATATAGATACAGAATTATATATAGATAGATAGATAGAAAACGATGGATTTTTTTCTTCTTTTTTTGCATTAATCTGATAAATATGTTTTAATTTATTTATTTCCCCTAAAATGTGCGTTCTGCCTGTCAGCACCTGTATATGCTGTGTTATATATATAGAATTATGATATGAGGCATTTTAGAGATAGTATGAGCAATGTCTTAATTTTAATAAAATATACTACAATGAAATAATATAGCCTAAACATGGCCACTCATTCCCCTTAAAACCATGTTCCCAAATCACAACACAATACTGCAAATTGATAGAAATATATATATTAGACTCACCTAAAATGTAAGTAAATGGTTAATTACCTACATATTTAAATATTATATTACCTATTTATCAAGTGTCACAACTGTTTTCCTTCTTATTGTCAGATATTTATTAAAATATTAATAATACCAGGTAATTCCAAGGATATTATTCCATATTTCTTCTGCTATGAGTTCAATCACAACCTTGTTAACTCCCTCAAACAAATTTTTTAGAAATTATATGGGATTTTTTTAGATAATTTGCCTCATAATAAGTAGGCCCTATTAGTAACTATGGCAACACCAGAAAACAAATGGCAGGTGTGATGTGCATTTTTCTGACAGAAAATAGAATTGAAACTCATTTCAAAACCATGCTGTAAGGTAAATTCATTCATTCAAAGTCATCTTCAGATTGGTCCGAATACATATTTGACACGTTATTTTATTATCTGATGATGTTGACCAATACGGAGTGATATAAAACCGCACATTTTGTCCTTTGTCTTAATGAGTGAGTGCTAACTGTTCATGCTCAGGCTCAAGTGGAAGTTATTCAGGGAATAAAGACTTACTGAGAACAAAGTCGAGGTTTATCGACCCTGTGTCCTTTTTAAGGCATTTAAACCCAGGTTACTTAAAGTGGGACTACACAAGCTGTAACGTAAATAAAATGCGTGTGTAACTCCATACGAGCCATCAATGACGCGTTGCGTTGTTTTTACGTTAAATGAGTGTTTCAATAACAGTCATACTTAATTGCGCTAGTAAACAATACTGTCCAGGCAAACCCGAGCGCGCTACACAGAAAGCATGTGGCTTTGCCTGATGATTTACTAACAAACCCCGTGGGCCATACTGTTGAGTCAGTGGCGTACAGCTCGTTGTTTTGCCGTGTGAGAAAGCATTATAAATGTCGTTACCGCGTCCATGCTAATTTTTCCTCGCAGCCGCTACCATTATCATATGACAAAAGACTCACCATGCCGTTGTTCCAGTTATTGTTGTCTGAGTTGTAGCTGGAAGGCCAGGATGACTTGGGATCAGACTGCATCTGCTGATGCATGATCCACGCAGCCTCACCTCCGCCGCGGTCGCTGCCAACTGAGTCGAAAGCCATTCGTGACTAAACCACTAACTCTTTCCGTCCTAAGTTCACTTCTGTCAGTCACAGCTTGGTTTAGAATGAAAGAGGTCTTCTCAAAACCGGTCTTTAATGGTCTGCCGCCACGTTTCACAAAATTCTGTAGCTACAGTGCATCAACTGGATATATTTCCCATTTTGTCTTGTATATACACTGCTGAGGCACGGCGCTGTCATTCACTTCAACTCGCCAGCCGACGCTCCTTGACTGACAGTTTAACCGACCAATAGAAGACGAGCACTGCGGTGACGCCACTCTCACGTGACAACGGTAAAGTTTATTGTAATGAGAAGGCCATTGCTGCGAATCGGTTCTTTTCAAGAGATCCGTGTCAGTGATTCTTTTACATTAAAACGCAATCGTCATGTACGTAATTAATGTAATAATTGATAATAGAGTTATTAATAAGAGTTTTGATTGTTAAATCAAATGATTGATAAAAATTAAATGATTAAAATTAAATTAAGTTAAATTAAATGATTGTAAATTCGCGTGCCACCGTTGGTTGTATTCATAAAAACATAAACAATTTCTACCGTTAATATAATATAATTTTAGTTGCTTCAAATAATACTACACTGTAAGAAAAATATGTATAAAAACAGATAATGTCCTGGTAGAAAAGTATGAGTACAATTTGTGTTAAGTTTACGGACATTCCCTTAAACACAAAACTATGCAAGGCATAATTCAAAATACGGGTAACACCTGTGAAAAATCAACATGGTACATTATGCTGTATTTTTAAGGACTTTTCTTAGAGAGTAAAATCCAATTACATATCTTGTCTGAAAAAAGATTTAGGTTTCAGTGAGGGCGGATTTGTGAACCAGTTCAACCGGTTCATTGAAAAGATCCGACTCAAATGAACGATTCGTTCGCGTTCGCATTATATAATCTAACCACTGATTATCAGTGAATCTAACTAAAACACAGAGAAATGGCGCCATTTAGCCGTCAGTCATAGTTTAAGAATAATTTAAAGTTAAACTTGGGACATTTGGAACAAGCAAGCGAGAGTTGAAAGGGTTCAAATGAACCGGAAGCACTTTCACAACAAAGATTAAGAGATAATCCAGATGTTTTAATTCAAAAAGTTTCCTCGGAAAGTCCATTGGATGCCATATTCACATTGAATAAACTAAAATAGGCACTGAAAGGGGTAAGACATACTTCTCCAGGGAAAGATGAAGTATGTTATGATATGATCAAGCATCTATCAAAAAAAGCATTAAATGTAATCTCAAAACTTTACAGTGAAGTATGGAAATCAGGGAAACCCCCGTATTTTAGACAAGATATTTTATTAGAAGTACTGCAAAGTTTGTACCGAATACGGCAACTGAGAATTATAGTAGAATTTGTATGGGTGCCTGCTCATGTTGGGGTGGAAGGAAATGAGGAGGTAGACAAGATAGTGAAACAGGCTCTTAAGCACACAAATATTGACATACATAAACCCTTGAGTAAATCTGAAATTAAAGGTTTAATTAAAGTAGCTGTCAGAAAGATATGGCAAGAGAGATGGGATAAAGGTAACAAAGGGCGACATTTGTATAATATAAATAAACAAGTAGGACAAGTAAGAACTGCTTATGGTAATAGAAGGGATGATACAGTTATATCTCGATTGAGAATTGGACACTCTACTCTGAATAAATCACTCCAGATGATAGGAAGACATGAATCTGGTCAATGTAATCATTGTGGACTTCCAGAAACTGTAGAGCATGTGCTGATTAACTGTAGGGCATATGAAAGGGAAAGAATACAGTTAAAAGAGGAATTAAAATCTGACGGCATTAATTCTATGACATTACAGAATGTGTTAAACAGTTCTCATAAAGGTTATAAAGCTCTTATTAATTAGCATTTCCCTTGATATCATCGCCTGAAATACACCATTTTGTTGTTTGTCAACCGCCAATAAAATTTCAAGAAGAAGAAGAAGAAGAAGATATCATCGCCTCACACTCCATCCCAGTAGGTGGCGGAATATGCACCAAAAGCTGGTTTGCCAACCGCCATTAAACATCAGAAGAAGAAGAAGCACTTTCACAGCGTTACGTCCTGTGGAATAAGGATACACATTTGAAATGGTCCATGGCTTGATACTTTACGTTTAAAAAAAAATTATCCCAAATGTCAGCAAAATGAATTACATGCCAGGGACTGCGAGTCTCATCGAGGACATTGATAGTAAGTTTACTGCAAAATAATTGAAAAAGTATTTGAGTGAATTCACCCGCTGAGACACACAGTTGGCGTTGTGTAATGATGTTCGCCTAGCATCTTTGAGCATTTATAAAAGTCACGTTGGTGGTAACGTTACATGTTTAAGATAAAAATAGAAATCCTGTCCTGTTGGCTTTTGTTCCGCAAGATGGACTAGTTCGCATGAATAATAATCGCCTCAGTGCAGATGTTCGTATGATCATATTATATAATAAACTCATGGGAAAATATTCAAGTTCAACAGTATTGATGTGACTGACGATGCTTTGATTTCCCCTTGTTAGAGAAACACCTTGTTCTGCTTCGCGACGGAAGAACATTGATTGGGATCCTTAGAAGCATAGATCAGTTTGGTATGTATAGAGGCCTGACCTTGTTCATTTGCATGGAAATATTTTCATTTTATTGCAAGGCATTCCACTGTTTGGTGTTGGGGTGAAGGTCTCAATAAATAAAATATAATTCGATGTGTAATAATAATGTGATGTGTAATTTACTCACACTCATGTCAGTCCATACCTGTATGCAAAACGGGAAATTTTTTTATTTATTTATTTTGCCTGTACAGTAAGAGTCAATGGGGTCCAATGATGTATGGACCCCAGCATTCTTCAAAATATCTTTTGTGTTTCGCAAAAAGAAAATCGCACACATTTGTAACCACATGAGGGGGAGTAAATGTGACCCTGGAGCACAAAAGCAGTCTTAAGTCGCTGGGGTATATTTGCAGCAATAGCCAAAAATACATTGTATGGGTCAAAATGATTGATTTTTCCTTTTTGCCAAAAATCATTAGGATATTAAGTAAAGATCATGCTCCATGAAGATATTTTGTAAATTTCCTACCGTAAATATATTAAAACTTAATTTTTGATTAGTAATATGCATTGCTAAGAACTTCATTTGGACGACTTTAAAGGCGATTTTCTCAATATTTTGATTTTTTTGCACCCTCAGATTCCAGATTTTCTAATAGTTGTATCTCAGCCAAATATTGTCCTATCCTAACAAACCATACATCAATGGAAAGATTATTTATTGATGTATAAATATTTTGTGGTCCAGGGTCACAAATGAGAAAAGGAAATGTAATTATTGGGTGAATTAAGCCTTTTTAGACCAGTAATAACGTGCAAAGGAAATTGACAATATTCAGTACTGTAAGATTTACCATTATGTTTCAACAGTGAACTTGTTACATTATTTTTGTTTTTCCACAGCTAATTTAGTTTTGCATCAAACTGTTGAACGTATTCACGTTGGTAAGAAGTTTGGTGACATACCTCGTGGGATATTTGTTGTCAGAGGAGAAAATGTGGTCTTGCTTGGAGAAGTAGTAAGTACATGTTCATTCTGCCCTTGGAAGGGTTTTACGACTTTGTGTATAAAGTAGCAACATTTCATGAAGGCAACCAATCATAAATCTTACCACTACTCACTGAAATTTAACCTTGTGCTATTTTTTCCTTCCAGGATCTGGATAAAGAGTGTGATCAGGTCCTCCAGAGAGTTTCCATTGAGGAGATCCTGGAGGAACAGCGGACAGAACAGCAAGCCAAGCAAGAGTCGGAGAGACTGAAGCTACAGGCGGTGAAAGAGCGAGGCTTATCCATCCCTAAAGCTGACACGTTAGATGATTTCTGAAACAACTTTGTTTAGTTCTTTTTGGATGATTTTATTTGTTTTATTGGGTGGTTTTGTTTGATTTGAGACGACATTCTGTCCTGAAATCATTCTGTCCAATGATAGAGGAGTGAGTCTCACGAGATTGTGACTTCAAGATTTTGTGTCACTAGTTGCTGTAAAGTCATGTTTTGAGAATCGCCCATCATCTGTGTTTCTTTTATGGCAGATGCCATAGTGAAATGAAGGATGGAGCACCAAACTGAAGCACTTGGCCTGTTGGCTTTTAGTTTAAACAACAATAATGGTATACAAGAAAATAAGTTTATTTCGGTGTTCACTGTTATGGATATGACGCTATGGTTATTAAGTTGGTATATTGTGTAAAATACATGAAATATTTTTGTTCTATTAAACCTATTTTATACCAATGAAAATGTACTTTTCATTAATTGTTTCACTCTACTTGCCTCTGAGAAACCACATTTAATTTTGATGTAAAATGATTTTTGATGATTAATCTCCAAAAGTGTTTTTAGAAGCCAATTTTTTAAAATGTTAGAGTGTATTTACATTAGATGTTTGAATAGGACATAATAATATTGTTTAAAAAGATATTATAATTATTTGTTTAATCTGCCATATGGGTTTAGTATATACTTGAACAGTGGCCCAATTAGGATTTTCATGTGAAGCATGTCCTTGCATTAATCGGTAGCTAGGGGGTGATTTTGCCTTTGTTCTGTTTTGAGGCAATAGGTCTCAGAGAGAAGGACGTCACAGATTAAAGCTTCTGTTAGACACAAGCTAAAATGGCACAGCAGTGTTTTCACACAGGCTACTTAGAAGAGGGCCGTATCTACAGTGAATATATTACACTAAATTGCAGATTTATTGCAGCGAGTCTAATAATTTTGCCTACATAAAATGTGGTATGTGACATAGTTTACACTTAGAAATTGAACTTCGAAAAATCATGTTTGTAGTGCAGATCATACAGTTTCTTGAGAATATGTAAAATGTAGAGCATTGTTATGGGGTAAATTCCCTAAATTTCACTTTATTGGATTTAAAAGTGTCCATTATTAGTTGCTAAAGTTTAAGAGAAAATTCGAACCGGGTGAGGTGCAATTTCCGTCCACTCCGGATTTCAGTATGTGCGTTGACACAAAACTTGATGTATTGGTTTTGGCACTATTTTCACTGACAAATAATCAAAAATATACGTAATAACGGGTTTTTTTTTTTTTAACGTTTTTTTATTGAATCGATTTATAAAAACGATACCACAAATCGCATTTGTGTTGGTCTGATTATCATCAGTGGTTAACTTGGCATTTATTGCCGAATCACAGCTGTGTTAAAAGGAAT